GGCTAACTAAGGTGATCCCTTAATAGATACCTCCACCGCCAGTTTTAGAAGCATATCTATGTCAGGATACTCTAGGGATGTGACATCTCCATGGGTCTAGTTGATGTGACATCAACGTTATGTCAACTCAAACTCAGGAGAATTAATAACCCGCCCACTCTAGACGCGGCTGATTGACCCCTATGAGTAAACGTCTCACGCCGTCAGATGCATACACGTGTCCCACATCCAACGGTGCTCCTTATCTATAAATACTCATGGTTTGGCAAGAGGCAAAGGTAATGAACCTATACTAAGCTAAGCTCTCCACATTCAAGCATATATACTCTTCTCCCCACTCTCTTGCACAATTTCGGCACCATTTCGATCATCGATCACTGACTTGACTGTTAGAGTGTATGCGGCCGCCACCACCCCTGTTGGTTCAGGCCGTGTGCTCTTAACCGTGTGTTGTTGTGTGCAATGAGAAACGCGTGGAGTGGCGCTCAGTTGGCCACGTGGAGGTCCAATTAGCAAGGTCAACAGATTGACGACGTCTGTGGGAATATTCCAACCAAAGAATTTCCCATTTACCACCGAAAAACTATCGACTTACCTTGGAAAAGGGACATTCTTTGAAAAAGAACCACGTCAACTTATAGTCTTAAGATCACACCACCCTTGAAAAAAGTGTGGAAAAATAAGCTATAGCAATAAGGATGCAAACCTTGAAGGGTACAGGGATGCCTCTAAAAAAAAGGTGCTCCGAACCAATGTCACACATCGGAGACCCCATCATTGGTGTTACTGAGGCAACAGGATAGTAGCACTCACTGAAAGGATGGCTTAAATAGCTGCAGGCATGAGAGACATTGCAGCCCAGAATCTGGCGATGCGTGAATTCTTCATGCAAGTCCAAAGTCAGCGTGGCTTCCCAATGCTACAAGGGCTGCATCTAGCTCAAGGGTAAAACCCGGCATCACATGCCCGGGGTCGATCAAGCCACCATAGGGAACACCCCATTGAGAAGGAAGTAGGAATGGATGTTACTTCTTATACTCGAGGTACCCAGTGGCAGAACCACAGCTGAGAGAAAATTTTCCACCAGAATATGAACCTCAGAGGTCGTTAGTGTCTTCGACCGAATAGGACAAAATCCTAGCAATAGGGTCAACTCCATACAGAGGTCAACTCAGCATGTGCAGAAGCAAGAGCATGAGCAAGAAGAAGAACAAGAGGCACCCCATCCACCTAGAAATAGGCGGGAGAGGAGAAACCTAGTGGATTGGGGTAGTCGGGTGCACCTCCATCTCCCCAAAATGCATCAGAGGGAGAAGGCTCTGAAGGGCGTGTCGCTCTTACGAAATTGATGACGATGATGACAACCTCCCTTTCTCCAGAGAAATTCGAAGCTTCCCAATGCCCGCGAACATCATGCCCTATAAAATCCCAAAGTATGAAGGAACGGGAGACCCACAGAGACACCTTACTAAGTACATAACGCAAATTGGCCTCGTCGGCACTAAAATGCAGGGCCTTCCATCTTATCCTTACCGGATCTGTTGAGGTGTGGTATAGTAGGTTACCACCTTTAAGCATTAGAAGTTCACCAGATTTGAAGAAGGCATTTCTGAACCAATATCTCTCACGAAGGGAGGGAGAAACTCCAGTACAACGCCTATAAGATATGAGGCAAGCTCTTGGCAAGACACTGGAAAGCTATCTCGCCAGATTCACTGATGAAATGACATATTACGAACGAGTCAATGATAGGGAGGCCCTCTCAGCCCTGAAAGAAGGCCTCAACATGAATACATTATTCTAGAGAGACGTACGAAGCAAGAACCCAAACACTTATAACGAACTCGTTGAGATGATGAGGGTACAAATCGTCAATGAGGAGATGATTGACCTCCGAAACCGTGCAGCTCAGGGACTTCCTCTGCCTCAGAGGCAGATGGGCCAAGGACTAGCGGCACACCTCATCACCTAGCAATGGACCCAAGCAAGTCACACAATAGCCCCCACATCCGGACAGGCATTGGCTT